TAGCCACTGGAGCGACGTCCCTCAGCGGAGCCGATTTCTAAAAGTTCCGATTTTGTGCTCCGCGGCTCTAGCACTTGCCAGAAGCGGCCGGCGGAGGCCCCTCCCCCGCCGTCTATCCTCCCGAATATCGCCTCGGATTCACTTCTCCGCACGTCCTACCTTCCAGTAAGTGGTTGCTTTTCTGTTCAGAGAGTTGTTGCTATTCTTTTCTTCAATCTCCTTTTGAGTTCGTAGGTGTTCAGAATGGTTTGATCCCTATCCAGCTGAATTCCTGAGACCAGACGAAATCTAGGTCTCCTACTCCTCCGCCATCTTGCCTGTAGGGTCCACAATTTTCTGTTTTTTACAACAAAGCCCAAGTAATATTTTAAGAACATCAACTAGACATTCTGAGCTTGTAGTCTCTTTCCCAGGTTGACTGAGACTTGAATGACCTTCTCTGCTGTGTAAGTTCATGGTCTGCCGCATATGGTCTGACTTCATATATTGTGAAGGATGAGGGACCGCACGAGGGTTAATTAGAATCACCATCTCATTCAGATTCAGAAACTGGAGTCTTTAATTTTATTGACCTTATAGCCCATAGTCCTTTACTTGAGTTATTTGCTAAAGCTTTTCGATATCTGGCCTGATCCCACTGCCTCCTTCTCCCTGAAGGGAGCCGCGGTTGGAACAGGGTATGACTCCAGATGTGGGTGTGTGTGTGAGCCCCTGTAACACACACACTCACATACTCTTGCACGGCTAAGTTCACCAGCTGTGGACACCGACTTTGGTCCGTTGAGAAGGTGCGAAAGAGCCCGCTCTGCTGACTGGCCACAAGGTGCATGTTGACCCCAGAAGACCGTCCCTGCCTCTCGTCTGCCCAGGAACTCAAGGGCTCCACTCCCCCTCCTCCACCGGATTCTCCGTGAGTGGGATGCTGAGCATGACAGGGTGCTCGCGGCCTCACCCAGCAGGGCCCACAGGCCCTGGTCAGCCCCTGAGCAGGGGGGCCGTTGGGGACTCCGGCCTTGGTGGGGAATGTTGGGAGCAGGGACCAGCTTTGGAAGCACAAGGGCTGGACCACGCAGGCTGGGAAGCTCTGGGACGACGGCTGTGGGCAAAGCTTCACACTGTATTCTTTGCAGAAGTTGACTATCTGCCTATTAAAGAGGTGTCTCAATATGTCTTCTCTCCTTTCATATTAAGCTATGTGTGTATAAAACTTGAATGTTGGATGATTTTTAAGTCCATTTCAACAATCATCTTGCAGCTCTGCTAAAATCACGGGATAGCACACATTCATATGTAACATGACTGGTTCTGAGTGGAAGCTTGTCTACAAGAAAGCGAAGGCACGGCTTCTGGGCTGTGTAAGGATATTTCTTGCAACAGACTTCCACCTCTCACAGGTGACAGCTGACGTTGGGTGTAGGAAGAGAGGAGGGACCACAGGTACTTGCTCCATCTCATTTTCCACATCGGGGACACTTGCAGAATGTCCTTCAAACATGCCCAGGCAGACGGGTCTGGGGGGGGGGCATTTCCAGTCTGGGATGACTGAGCGTCCAGGCTCTCAAACCACCTTTACGTTGTTAGAACATCTACCTGTGTGTGTCTGTTGGCAATCGACTGGTCTCTGCAGAAGGCACAGAATCGAATAACTCACAGTCCCCAAACCCAAGGGGACAAGGTGTGTACTCCTGACTCTTTTTCACATTCTGAAAGCTGCTTATTTTTCTCATTACTCTGGAAGATTCAAGGATCAAACCTCACTTGGTCCCTTTAACCCCCATCACCACCCTTCTGATGGGATTAGTGACATTTATGAACCAACAGAGTGAGAATAGGCATCCTTCAAAATGCAGAATCCTCCTCTGGGTAACAGGTAGGGCTCAACAAAAGAAGCAGAACCAGTACAAAAATGTCTGTGAAGGGTTCTATTGCAAGGACTCAGTTCATAACATTTAGACACCGGTCTAATGGTCCAGAGAATGGGGCCCCATGGAGACTCAGCGTTGGTCTCTGCAGGCAGACGGGGGCACTCGGCCATGTGCTTCTCCAGGCCCTGCCCACGGGGAGGACATCCTGCCCCACCATCCCACAGGGATGGCGCAGAGAGGAGCCATGTGCCATGGCTGCCCATGTCCAGGAGGGGCCTGCATGTCCTGCAGAGCCATCTGCACCCCAGGGCCCCGGACTTCCTTTCCTCTGTCAGCTCCCTGCGAAGCCACAGGCTGGGAGAGAAGGAGTGTGGCAGGCACGGGGACTCGGGCACTCCTCTGGGGAACCCACAGGTGTCTTCGGGCTGCATGAGCCCATCTCCTGGGCACAACTTCCACGTGGCGATGGACCGTGGCTGTGGACACCCAGCCCCACGGCCTTCTGGGTCCGGCAGCACCCATGGGGCCACGGTCAGCCCGCTAGCTGGCCAACTTGATGCATCCAGAGGGCGACTACGTTGTTTGTGGATATGGCCTAGCTTCCCTCCTACGTAGGCCCTGTGTAACATCCATCAACAAAATTTAACAATTTTCTCCAGGGAACCTTGAACATCTTTCGAGAAAGATTCTCCTATGTATTTTCGTCATTATAAATGACACTTTTAAAGTAGCTTCACCATTCTGGTGCATAGAAATGTGATTACTACCAGGGTACAGCTCATAGGCCCAGCCCCTTGTGGTCCGGCTGCTTCTAGGGGCTTGCCTGCCTGGTTAGTTTGGCACTTTCCCGGTACCTGTGAGCCTCTAAAGTCCTGTGCTCCCCGGGTCTTCCCGCCGAGTGCACTCCATGGGAGCCGCTAACCTTCCCCGTTTAGACTGGTGTTTGCTCTTGGGTTTGCCATGTTTAGGCCACTGACCATCCAAGGCTGCAAAGCATGCTAACCTGAGTGGGTGTTTTCCCTGACAGATGGCTGTGACCAGCCGCTGGCGTCCACACTGCCTGCCTCCTCCTTCAGCGGCTCCTCCGAGCTGTCCCGCAGCCACAGCCCCGGGTTTGCGAGACTGAACCGCAGAGACGGTAAGTCAGCTGACTGCCTCTCATTGATCCACGGCGGCCGGCTCACGGACTTTCAACAATTCCTGCATTTCTTTTGATAAAGTATTGTAAGTGGATTATCTGTGGCACAGAAAGTAAAACTCCAAGCAAGTACTGGGGGTGTAGGCATGTTCCCAAGTGAGATTTTGCACGTAAAGAATGCCAAGGCTGGTCTCTCTCCTTGTGCATGTTGGGGCCACGGAGCGAGCCACGCCGGAAACAGCTGTGAACTGGAATATTGTATACAATCATGCCAACATTCCAGTCATGAGAATATGTACATACCTTTAAATATACCCAGCTTTTTATCTAGGAGAATATTTTTTCTATCACAAATACTCACTTCTAGGAGTCTGTTAACCTTGATGTTTAATTACTAGTCTCCAAGTTGGACAAAGAAATTGGAAGGTGTATTAGTTTCCTATTGCTGCTATAACAGATTCCATAAAGATTTAGTGGCTTAAAACCACACGAATGTATTATGTTATGGCTTCAAAGGTCCAAGGTCTGGGACGGGTCTCACGGGCTGAAATCAAAGTGCTGGTGAGGCCACTTCCTTCTGGAGGCGCCGGGAGCCTTTCCTGGGCGGTCGCGTTGAGAGCCCGCTCTCCTGGCTCAGCTCCTCCCTCCATCTCCAGCGCCGCGGGGTCTCCCTGGTTCCAACTCCTCTGCCTCCCCCTTCCCACCTAACACCCTGTGATTACACTGACCTCCCAAATTCAGCCAATTAGCAGCCTTAGCTCCTCCCTGCCATGTGAGGCCACCAGACCCATCCTCCTTACAACAGAGGCTAGAAAAGCAGTCTCAGATACTTGCCAATTAAAACTAAAGACAATCATTCCGTTTCTTCCCTTGATGTCTCTGGAGGAGGAATGGGAATGTAATGCTACCTTCCCAGGTCATCAGGGTTGTTCTGCTTACACCTTTGAACCCTCGGTTCTGGGGTGTCGCTGTGCGTGGCTTGCAGAGAAGAGCAGGGAACTGTGTCGTCTTCAGCAGCTCTGCACAAAGCTTAGAGTCACCAGAGGATATCACCGCGATCCTTGTCATGAAATGGGAAGGCGGGAGGCCCGCACACAAATTCCAGGGAAGTAGGTCGCACTCCAGTCCCCCAGAAAACCCCTGCAGAAATGAGAGCCTGTTCCTCACCCCACCTTCTAAAATCGCTCCCTCTGTTCTTTCTCTCTAACTTCTTGTTGTCCTGAGCACTAAGGCTCAACATCTGACCACGTTTAGTACAGTGAACATTCACAACATAAAAAATAATGGCAATTCATATAGGATTTCATAGGTATTTGAGATTTTCATTAGAGATAGATGGACAGATAGATACTCCCACCAAAGTGCTCACTACAAAATAGATGTGTAGACGTGTAGACACTGATCATTTTCTATTTCATTTTGTTTGCTATTGAGGGGGCAGAATTAGGTGAGGAGGTGGTTTGGGTTCAAGGAAAGTAGGCTTCTCCGGCCTCTGTTCTGGAAAACAAGTTCAGAAAGAAACAAGTTTGAAAGAAAACCTCGGGTCCAGAAGGGTGTGGCTTAGGCCAAGCCACACACTGGGGCTGGATAACCCCCTGGCCCCAGTTCTAACCTCCCCCAGGTGCAGTCTTAATGGTCAGACCCCCTGCCCCTCCCTCAAAGGGAGGCAAAGCCAGAAAGAACAGTCCTTTCCCTTTGCTGACAACTTCCCTGCCTCCCCTCCTTCCTGCAAAACGTCCATTTTGTGCAGCTCCTCAGGACTCCCCTCTGCTTGCTAAACAGGGTGGTTCGTGAATCTTGTAAGGAACCGAACTGGATCTTCAAAGTTACCGGGTTAACTTTGGGGTTTTACAGATGAGAGCCATACCTTCCTCCCCGAGTCGGTGTCAGTGCTGGTTACCGATTGGACGGATAAGCATGGCTGGTAGTGAAACCACAGTGGCCCCCTGCTTCCCAGCACAAACAGCCTCTGTTGACCACAGGCCCGAAACCCAGCTCCCCTCGGCCACCCTCTGGTGACACCCCGGGCTTCTGCAAATCCCCCTCCCAGGGCCTGCCTGCCGTCATGTTTGTCCTGCCGGTCCATCCATGGCGTGCATGGACCCCTGGGCTAGACCCCCAGCTGGCCTTCCTTCCCGGGCCCTTGAACAAGGGCTCCCATGGGGCCCTGGGAGCCCAGGCCGTGCACTGTCCCCCCACCAGCTCCACAGCCCGGGCCCAGGCCCCCAGCCTCCCAAACACAGGGTCACAGCAGCCCCCCAGAACCAGCGTCCTTCCGAGGTGCACTCGAATGAGCAGTCCGTGCATGCTTAATCTCGCAGCCTTTTCCTTTCTCCAAATGATATTTATTTGAGCTCCATTACGTCTGAGTGTCAAACATCTCTGCATGCAGATTATCATTATCTTGAAACACAAAGGCAGGATTAGATTCCTTTGCAGGCTCTTCTCCAGGATGAGCTGGATTCACCCAAAACTGTCACAGTAAAAAGGAGGGGAGGGATCTTCATGCCAATAAAATGCAGTAAAAGAAGAGATGTTTTAGAAAAATCCACTGCTCGTTCTCACTTGAATCCTACTCATTGTTCCCAGTTTAAGAGAAGCATAAGGTTTTTCTTTTGAAAATAAAACAGAAAAGTCTATATTTCAATTAGTTTCTTTCAAAGTTTTCACAAAGAATAGAGACACCATTTACAAATCACTAAATTTATCTTCAGTCTGCGCGTGTTTAGCAAATGACAAGTGAGCATACTCTCCATTTGTTGGTTAGAATCACATTTCCCACCCGGGCACGTGAGCCCCGGGATTTTCCATGAGTGAAAATCATTTTAATCCACTGTTTTCCTACAGCTCATAATGAAGCAAGATATCAACTTTAATGAATTCTATTTGCATGTTAATTAAGCTTAAAACAGCCCATCTTAATTATCTGTTACTTGCTAATTCATTGTTTTTGATTGGGTTTTATTTTTTTCTCCCCACGGCTAGCCTGCAGCATTCACAGGGGAATTGCAAACTGAGTGAGTTATTGAAGGCTCTGTGGTGCGTCTATTGTTTCAACATTTCTCATTTGATTTGGATTAGGCCGTGAAGGACGGCTATGCAGGCAGTCTGAACATGAATAAATGAACACGAATGAATACACCAACAAATAAATTTCTCGGAGTCAGAAGCCCATAAAACATGAGGTCTTCCCATTGCAGGTCTGGGAGCAGGCAGAAAATAGGCCATTTCTAACCAGACCACTCACTGCTTTTTGTTCTGTGTCAGGGGGCAGGGGGAGGTGATGTGGGACACCCCACGTGAGGGGCACCAAGGCCCTGGGAGAGTCGTGCCCCTTCTCCTGGGGGAGGAGTCCAGGCTCCCTGGTTGTGGGACAAGCCAAGTTTCCCTGTGCAGGTCATGCCGCTGTCTTTCCCTTGGTCGAGCGAGTTCGGTTCCCCGTAGCTCCGAAGGAATAATCCAAGATTCCCCAGCAGAGGGTCGGTTGGCTGTAACAGCGCTCCCGGGAGGCACCTGCATCACTCCCACAGCTCCAAGTGTCTCCTCCTTCATTCACCATTTCCCTGCGCTGTATTGTGAACTGTGATGCTTCTGGAAGCGAAGCCTGTTGGTCCTTTACCATCAGTGCTGCTGAAATGTGAGGTAATCTCAGGCCGGAGATGAGGCATCCATGAGGTCGGCAAGGGGTTGCCCACACAGCAACCCAACCAGGCACTCGGGTGCAGGAGTGACAAAGGAAATGACAGCACCAGCAAGAGGTTTCCTCCAAATCTCTTACCCACTGAAAAGGGCATTTGTCCAGGCCCCGACCCGCTGAGGGGTCTCTGGGGGGAGATGGATGCAGAGAAAAATGCCCCTCTGCCCAGGACACAGGAAGGCAGCAGCAAGCATCGCTAGCACTGTTGACGGAGGTAACCCCAGGGCAAGTCCCCAGCAAGCTCTGGCCTGGAGGCCCCACCTGTGTGCCCGCAGTTGGAGGTCCACTAGGGCTGTACAAGCAACCATCAGCCTCGCATGTGCCCATGGGCTGTGGGGCAGCTGCCTCCCGTCCCAGCCCTGAGGCCTGAGCCTCTCGGGAACATCCTGGAACATGCTCAAAATGTCCTAGATCATTCATCAGTCAAGGAACAACCTGACAGATCTGATTCAACGCTCCCTCTACATTATATGCAGACAGAACAGCAATTTCAACTAAGTGTGAACTAAATTTAATGGAGAAATTTTTTAAAAATGGTTTGCAAAAATGCTCATGAAAGGGGCAAGGAGATGCTCCCGTTCAGTTCAGATTTATTTTACCACAGGAAGCAGTTCCCTGAGAAAGTGTGACAGGTCTGTGCCCATTGGAGGCTGGACCCGACACCCAGGCGGGGACACCACAGCCCAGAGTGCTGACCGTGGATGGGACAGCGCAGACATGCGGACAGGTTTCAAGTCCCCGGAGGTTACTGTAGGTGAGACAAATCTGGAGCAGGGTAGTTCCATGGTCTTCAGGTGCACGTGGCTGGGGCTGGGGGAATCCGATATGGGGGTACATTCTCCACTTGACCTCGGTCCCCAGTTCACTCAGCTGCTTTCACGGAAAGACATTTGGATTTGTGCCTAGGCACGTGTGGTGCCACGGAAGCTGTGGTTGAGCTGTCTTGGTGGGGAGGCCCAGCCTGAAGGACGCCTCACATGCAGATCCCAGCGAGCCACACAACACTGACTGGCGTCCGTGCAACACTTTGCATTTCTTTCCCAAATCAATGGCTTCCACTAATGCTGCCAAGGGCATTTCAGACATTTCTGCCACCAAACATTACCAGAAAGCCTAGACAGAATGTTTGTTTAAGTGTTTGAAGATACTGGGGAGTTTCCAGGCCATGGGGCCGGGACCAGGAGAGGGAAAGCCTATCACTACGGCCGCTGTGCTGATGGCTTTTTCCAAAGTGAAAGCCACGGCAACAGGCTGGAGGCTGAGGAGGACCTCCCCGCCTTGTTGGGATGCTGCCCCAAAGTGG